ATATATATACACATATGTATATATATGTATATATATATACATATATATATATATATATATATATGTATATATATATATATATATGTGTATATATATATATGTATATATATATATATATGTATATATATATATATGTATATATATATATATCATTTTTATAAGATAACACTCGCATATTTAGTTTTTACGAGGGAGGCCCGGGATTTCATCGAAATACTTTAAATGAAATCATAAAAAGATAAAGATTATCTTTTGACTAGATTTGATTTAATTTTTTAAAATCGAATCATTTCAGTTTTTTAGAATCGAATTATTTTTTAGATAAATTAGATTCAACTAAGCATTGACTGATCAATTTAATTTAATTAAATCCTATATTACCCTCACCCCCACCCCCGTGCCTCTTTCTTCCTCTCTCCATTAGCTTCATCCTTCTCACCCTCCCTTTCTTCCTCCTCCTCTCAATCCACCTCTTCTAATTAGTTTCCTCCTCCTCTACTCCTTCAAGTGCTCCTCCCCACCTCTCTCACTCCTCCTCCTCTTTAATCTTGGATAGTTGATGATAGTAGTACAACCTTAGTTTCTAAGTTTCTCATGGAAACACAACTAGATAGGAGTTAAATTACTTCAGTTTGAACAGGATTATAGTTATTTGGGTTCAATCAAACTAATTACAATGTTTATTTAGTAAATTGAAAACACTAGCTCTATTCAAAAACGTTATAATGGAAATATTAGAGTCCAATCTCAATTAATTAAAATTGTCACAAGTATTAATTATTATATTATTATATTTATTAAAGTTTCATAAAATATTTTAGGGTTTCAGGATATGTGCTTTTGTTGATTTGAAAACAAAAACAGCAAAAAAAAAACAACTTGACTTCTATAAGTTATTTTTTAATATAGCTATAATGTTTTTCAAGTTCCTATAAAAACACTATAAACATAAAAAAAATATTATTAGTGGGAAATAATAACTTAAAATAATTTATCAAAAAAATCTTAGATAGATATTTTTTATTAATATAAAAAATAAAAAACTTAACTTTCGCTAATAATAGTGTTTTAGACACATTCACTTATGAATCAATCAGTTTACTGCAAAGATAGGAGATTATGGTAGGATATTTTTGGAAGTAAAATAGGGTATCATTGGGGTATGTGTATATACAAAACAAAAAACCCTTGATAAAATATCATATGACATGCGCATATTTGGTTTTTAGGATAAATCCCTTTTTTTGAGTTTTGATAAAAAATATTTTAAATAAAATAATAATAAAAATGATGATCGTACTTTGACTTGATTTTTCAGAACTAAATCAATTTTTGTTTAGATGAGTCAAATCATACCGATTCAACTAATTATTTAATTAAACACTTAGATTCTCCACTTCACCTCTTACCAATCGCCTTCTACTTGTGTCGCCTTCTCCTTCCACTTTACCTCCACAATCATCTTATCCTCTTTTCACTCCACCTCCACCATCATCTCTCTCTCTTACTCAATCACCTCCCTCCTCTCCTTTCGCTTCCTCATCATATCTCTCTCTCTCTCTCTCTCTCTCTCTCTCTCATCCACCTGCCTAATAATCCCCTTCTGTTTTTTTTCTTCTTTTACTTCTAATCCACTATTCCTTCCCTCCCATCCTCCTCCTCCTCATAGTTTATCTAAAAAAACTACTACACATAACATATTTTTTTTTGAAAAATATTTTATATAAAAATTATCTTAAATTATTTAAAAAATAATTACATTTGAGTTACATTCATTCACATAATCTATTAAAAAAATATTAGCCTTTATATAAAATTATTCTAAATTCATCACAAATCTAAAAGTATTAAATTATCCTAAAATATATTAATTTTATATAAATATATCTAAAAAATTATTAGTTACACTCGAACTAACCTTGAGTTATACATAGAATATGTTAAAAAATATACTAATATTTATATATAATTATTTTAAATTTATCATAAATTTCAACATTTTATATTTCATATTTCATATTTTGACTTAGTTACACTCAAAATTAAAATAAGTCAAGCAATAAAAGTACATAAAATTAGTATATTTTTAATAATTTCTATAAGTGTAACTTGATTATAAATAATAGATCTGACCTGATCTGATTTGAATTGATCTGACCCAAATCGAACTGGCATGTTGATCGATTAGGCTTGAAACAACATTCTTCAAAAAGGGATTACACATTAGTACATGTTAAAGTCTATTATTAGGTGTTTTTTTGATAAATTATTCATATAAATATAAATATAAATAAATAAATAAATAAATAAATAAATATATATATATATATTATATACCGGCTTTTTTTTATTTATAGCTACTAAACCGCTGGCACAATTGGATCTGAGCGTGCTAAAAGCTGGCCCTTTTATTCGAATAATAAGAATAAAAAAAGAGAAGGAAGTGAAGGTGATATTATTTCGCCGCATCCATCACTCTCTCTCTTCTTGGATACGAATACCCACAGGATTCGATCGAGGACAGGAAAGATCGAATCTTGGAGGGGGAGGGGGTGTATCGGATTTAGGTTTCTTCCAGTTTCCGATGAGGCGGCGGTGCGATGGGAGGCGTCGCCGCACATTCTGAGGCCGGCGGAGCGCCTTCGGCCAGAGCGGCGATGCCGCAGCGAGCGCGGCTGCAGGTCTGGTTCCTGACCGTGTGCGGCTGCATCCTCATCTGGACGTGCCTGGTCCAGCTTCTCGTCCCCGGGCGCCTCTGGCCCCACGCTTGGGGTTGGAACACGGCGCGGTTGTTCTTGGGCATAGCCGAGGCTGGATCGAGGTCCGCTCATCCGCCACTTGCTCCTCCACCGCCGCTCCCACCATTGAGTATGTAATCCAAGCTTTTCTTTGAAGATTTTCCCCGAAAAAAAAAATGTAGCCTTAAAGTGCCGATTTGGTGCATATTTCTTCTTTTGGACGTATCTTGGGAGCAAAAGAACAGATGTCACTATCATTTGGGATCAAATGTTTCATCTTGTTGTCCTAAAACGCGATTTAGTGGTAACATCTTGTCTTTTCTTGATATGCAAGGAAGGAAAACCATTTTGCTATGGATAAAAGAAGCGCCTGTAAACACACACTTAAAGTGTATCACGTAGAGAAATTATATATGAGAAGTGACGGTTAATTACAATAAAATAGAATAAAGAATGTTTAGACATTTTTTCTCTGCCCTCCCCCATTGATTTTACATCTTGATGAGCAATGGGTAGGGGATTCTAGAGTAATGAAAACAATAGCTCTAACTGTGCATGCATTGGCTTTTAATCATCTGCTTCTCAGGATTAGTCAAGGCACTTGCCTTGTAGCATGTAATGGAGACTTCTAAACCCCAAAGAAAATTATACTATTGGAAACATTGGACAATCGTGCACTATACTCATTCTCAATAAGATTTTTGATAGGGACAAAAATTGAAAGAAAACAGAGAAGAGGATGATAGATGTGTTCTGACTTGTTTTCCATGGTTTTTATGTTTTTCTTTTAATTTTTTTTCTCTTTTTTTGGAGGGTGAGGTTTATTTGTTTCTGTCAAATAATTTTTTGTTAAAAGTATAAAAGACAGTTTGGTATTTTTATCAACACTGTTAAAGGAATGGTAGATTGGTACTATATTGGGGAAGATCTCTATATCTCTCTCTATATATCTGAGATACTGGCTGATATCATGTGTTTTATTATCTCTTTCTTCTTTTTTCTTTTTGACGGGTTATTTGAGAAGCCTAAGTGTAATAAAGATTTAAGGGAAAAAGACATCTGATTTCAACCAAGAGTTAGGAGTCCCTTGTTTTGTTTTTAAGATTATAGCAAACGTTTTGATGTTGTTTTTGCTTCTAGATAAGAAAGATGAATTTTCCAGCAGAATTGCTTCATGCCATGATTAATTGATCACATTCTTTCAGAAGTAGTTGGACAAATATGGTTGGAGAGATATTTGCTTATAATCATATAGTTTAGTTTGACATGATCACTTGTCCTTGTATAAAATATTTGCTTATAACCATCTTGCTGCAAAGTACCCAGCCCTTCAACTAGCTATCACACAAGGCTCTAGCTGTCCTAGATGATAAGTTACTGGGTTACTATGTTATTTTGTCCATCTTATGAAGGGGACTCATACATGTGACTGTTTATAACATGGAAAATCAAAAAGCAATGATGCATTGTGCTTTTTAAGTGGTTATATTCATTTTTTCTGTAGCCATTTTGCTCATGTTCACAATCAACTATCAGATTGCTCTTGAAAAGAATTTTTCCTCAAGAAATATTTCTTTAACTGCGTGCTTTACTTCTACTCCTTTGATATATTCATTTCAAATCTTTACACATCGGTAAAAAAGAAATCTTTACACATATATATCTTTTCATAATTCCATGGTGATAGCTTAAACTTTAGAACCCATTTAGCTGATTTTACACTGAAATTCTTCACAATTAAGATTATGCATGTTTATTGTCTGTTCCGTGTGAAACTTTATATGCTATCTTCATGAATCTAAATTAGAAGAGGGACACAATGAGGGTGCTTCAGTAACCAGGAGTGGTAACTTTTGCATCTGATCAACAATTTTTGCAATATACATTTTTGCATCTGATAACCAGGAGTTGAATCTTGTTTTTGATGTGTCATTCAATTCCAGTAAGTAACTTATGCTTGAAAAACTCTCTTTCTCCCTCCTTTTTGTAGTCTGCAGCTTCATGCTTTGAATGAATTCCTGGTGGTGCAGTTAATCAGTTAAAAATTACTTGAAAGATTGTCTGTAATATCTTTTATCATGTTTAGGCCTTAAAATTTCTGCCTGTGGTCCTACAGAGGAGTGATTAGTGTATATGATTTACCATGCTAGTCCAGATACAAAAATGTCCAATCCTTACAAGGTTATAATTATATCAGGAATGTCAGACCTTCCAAAATAGAACATATTCGAATGCTTTATGTCAAAATTACAAATAATAACTTATGTTGTTAACACAGTAGTTAACTTCAGTAAGTGTTCTAATGCCTTCCCAATCTAACTATTTGCAGGAAATTATACAAGCAATGGTTATCTAAAAGTATCATGCAATGGTGGCTTAAACCAAATGCGTGCAGCGGTTGGTAACTTCTTTCTGAATGTTGCACATATCCACTGCTATTTCTGAAATTATGCTAATTGGGTTTTTTTTAGATATGTGACATGGTGACAGTGGCTCGCTTGTTGAACCTTACACTGGTGATTCCGGAGCTTGATAAGCAGTCATTTTGGGCTGACCCGAGGTACTTTTTCTTTGGTAACAAGCAATTGACTACATTTCATATTCAAGTGTATGCTAGTCAGCCATTAGCAAGTGCCATGCATGGTTGAGCTGTGCCATTCACTTCCAGTAGATGGTATATCTGGCCACAACATCACAGACCCATATGATATAGCATTGCCTTTGATACTACATCGACATGCATTTATATGCCAGTCTAGTACCATGCATTAATGTATTGGTTATGATTGGCATTATGGTCCACGATTAAGATTATCATTTTGTGTTTTTTGTCATTCTTGGCTGCGGTACTAAACATCTATATATTCTTACTGCAGCAATTTTGATGATCTATTTGATGTGAAACATTTCATCGATTCTTTAAAAGATGAAGTACACATCACTAAAAGGCTACCAAAGAAGATAAGTGGAAAGGCTTCTAGCAATTTACTTAGAATGCGTCCTGTGAGCTGGTCAGATGAGAAGTACTACTTGCAACAGGTATTGAACTTATTTATTTTTAGTATTGAACATTTGCATTTATTTCTCTTGCTTGAATGTCTCATGCAGTGGTAATAATGATGTATATGTTTGTGGCTTGTCTTAGTATGCACAAAAGCTTAAGTGGCTTTTATGCCTTTTATGTTGACTTATTCTTGCAAGATACTGCACTGCTAATATTTTAGAGTTTACCATTCTTGGTGTTGTCTCTGATTTTCTTCACATGATGCAGATTTTGCCACTGTTCAACAAGTCCAATGTGATTCATTTTAATAAGACAGATGCACGGTTGGCAAACAATCTCCCTATTCATCTCCAAAAGCTTAGATGTCATGTAAACTATCATGCATTAAAATTTACTCCTCAGCTCGAGGCACTGGGAAACAGGTTGGTTCAAATTCTTCAAAAGCGGGGATTCTTTATTGCGCTACATTTGAGATACGAAATGGATATGCTGGCTTTCTCTGGCTGCACTCATGGTTGTTCCAAGGAAGAAGCTGAGGAGCTTAAAAGTCTAAGGTTTGCCACAGTAACCCTATGTGTTTTTGAGCCTCTTGTTCAAAAATATCAATTTGGTCTTTCTGATATTTAGGCTTTTCTAAAATATTTATCATGTCTTCCTGTGGTGTTCGTAGTTTTTTATTGTAAAAATTACTCTAGCAAATACCAAATCTTGGTGTACGATAAACAGATAAAAAGATCAATCTATTTTATAAAGAATAATTTCTCTCTCTAAAGGAAAAAGAACTTGAAGCATCATACTGTTATATGGTATAAGTCTCATATCATATATCAACTAATTCGAGATTACTTTGAATTTTTACTGTTAAGTTTCATGGGATGACCATCATTCATCTGCCAAGCTCTTTTTCAATGTTTGTCTCAATCCATGCTTAGTTCTGATGAAACCATGTGGCCTGTGGCATTTGGTAAAAACTATATATATATGTATGTATATATGTATATATATATATATGTATATATATATATGTATGTATATATGTATATATATATATATGTATGTATATATGTATATATATATGTATACACACACACACACATATATATGCTTGTGTAATGTATAAGCAGGTTTATATTTTTTATGTTTTGTCATAAGGTCTCTCTAGTCTTGTGAAAGCAATAGACAACTTTTTGGAAACATAATAGACAAAATATTCAGGATATTGATAAGCGTTGCCTTGAAAAGAAGAAAATGGTACAAGCAGCCTTTTTTTCTCTTTCTGTTGTAAGGTTTCAGTTGTCTTTATGCAAACAATAGAATTATCTGGCAATAAATGTTATTTAGTGTTATCTTCTGTGTGAATTTAACATGCTGCACTTTTTTAGGTATGCTTATCCATGGTGGAGGGAAAAAGAGATAGACTCTGTAGCCAAAAGGCTGCAAGGCTTTTGCCCACTTACACCTGAGGAGACCACGCTTGTTCTCGAAGCATTGGGGTTTGACAAGGATACTGAAATATACATTGCCTCTGGTGAGATTTATGGTGGGGAAAAGAGGCTGTCTACATTACGCGCAGCATTCCCGAAGCTTGTAAGATCTTATTCCATATATTAAGTTGCTTCATTTAATTTTGAATTTTATATTTGTTTTTCTTTAGCTACCAGTTTCAAGTTAGAAGCTATCCTCCATAGGAAACTTCTGTCACTGCTTAATTAAAGTTAGTACAAAAAGTTACGAGCAACAAATATGCCATTCTCCAGGTTAGAAAGGAGATGCTACTTGACCCAGAAGATTTACGTCAATTTCAGAACCATTCATCCCAGATGGCTGCCCTTGATTATATGGTTTCTTTGGCGAGTGATGTCTTCATCCCAACATATGATGGGAACATGGCAAAAGTCGTCGAGGGACATCGAAGGTTGGTCTTTTTCTTTTGCTATTGTGTTGTAGCTGTTACCATCGGTTCACTCACAATTAACATGATTGCCTGTGTTTTGGTCTTCATAGGTATCTCGGGTTCAGGAAAACTATCTCCCTGGACCGCAGAAAATTGGTGGAGCTTCTGGATCTGCAAAACAACAAGACACTTTCTTGGGACGATTTTGCAACTTCAGTGAGACAAGTTCTTGAGAAGAGCATCGGCCAGCCAACCTGCCGAAGAGTTGTTGCCGGTAAGCCCAAGGAGGAAGATTACTTCTATTCTAACCCTCAAGAGTGCCTGACAAATGCAAATGAATGCCCTATGCCTCACAAGTCAAGCTCTGTGAAGTAAAGGTATCTCGCAGCTTGTTAGCTTCCATTTGCGAGAGCAGGCCTGCTGTGGGCAGCCAAGACTGGTGAGACACGGCGAAAGGCAGCTCATGATTTCCTTTTATTCTTATGTTCCATAGGCCTTATTCTTTTGTTCATAGGCGTTATTATTTTGTGGTGCCCGGTGCATCTCGGGTGACCTTATCGCTGTAAAATAGTTGCTCGAATTATGTTTTAGATTGCAGCTGGAGTATCTCTACCAAATTGTAGATGCTAATGAAGTTTCTGTCAAGTTGGCACTTATGGTCCAGAAGGACAATGAGCCTAATTTTGATTGCAAGAGTTTAAAAGTCACAATTGCACATCATCATATTGTGGAATTAATGATCATCATATTGTGATGATATTAAATAAAGCTTCTAATTTTGTGTACCGGTATCATATTGGTCGGGACTTGGACCATGACCGGTATCGTATTGGTGTATGGTATCATCGTATTAGTGTATCCGAATTTCAAAAATAATATTCTTAGTAGAAGTCTTTTTCTTTGAAATGCAAAAATAATATTCTTAGTAGAAGTCTTTTTCTTTGAAATGACGTCATTGGATCGAAAAGTGGATGACTATCGAGTGTCTGTCGGTTCACCTTTCGAGTAGAAGTCCTTTTATTAGAAATGATATCAATTGATGGTATCACATCCTTCCATGGGAAAAGTGGATTGCAAGAACGGAGCAAACACAACCAAACTAGTTAGTTGAGTGTCTTTATAATAGCTCGCGTTCCCAACTGCACCGCCAAACTCGTCGAGTGTATTTATAGCTCAAGTTTTTTGGCGAAAGAAAAAAAAAATTTCATTAAGCATTAAAGTAGAACATGAAAACAGAAATATGGATGGGATGGGATGGGAGTGAAGCCGCGAATAAGACCTCTAACCCTCCCAATATCGAGTCGAGGCTCTCTTCATCGATCATGACAAATGACATATCATCTATCTAACATACCATCGATGATGATGAGAGAATTTTACTTGGTACTGCAGCAACGTCGCTTGATTCATTCCTCTTGGTTAGTCGTACAACGCCCAAGGAATGAGACCATCTAACCCATGATCATGCCAAGATACTTGTCACCCACACTTCACCTACTGTTTCCTTTTCCTTATATACCCACACTCCCCAACCTCAAAAGCATCTGCGTCCATGGAAGAATCTAACCTGTTTGGACTGCACGCCTGCTCTCTGCTCGCTCTGTTTCTGCTTTCATGGGTCTTCATCCACAGGTGGAAGCAGAGACACCAGAGATGCCCCAAGACATGGCCTGTCATCGGATCAACCATCGAGCAGCTCAAGAACTACGACCGCATGCACGACTGGCTCGCCGGCTACCTCTCGGAATCGAAAACGGTGACCGTCTCGCTGCCGTTCAAGTCCTACACCTACATCGCCGATCCTGCAAGCGTCGAACATGTCCTCAAGACCAACTTCGCTAACTACCCGAAGGTGATCTCAGTCTTCGGACCGAAGCCTTTCTCGCACTGCAATCTTTCTCATGTGGATGCAAGCAATTGAAGGGGGAAGCGTATCGATCCTACATGGATGTGCTGCTCGGAGACGGCATCTTCAATGCGGACGGTGAGCTGTGGCGGGCGCAGAGGAAGACGGCCAGCCTCGAGTTCGCGTCGAAGAATCTGAGGGACTTGAGCACTCGTGTGTTCAGAGAACATGCTTTGAAGCTCTCACGAATACTATGCCAAGTTCCAGTCGATCGCGACGTCGACATGCAGGTAATCGGTGAGTCATCCATGCATGGCGTTTGGAAGCTCTGATGCAGCTGCAGCTGCTGTGGGCGCAGGATCTGTTCATGAGGATGACGTTGGACTCCATCGCCAAGGTTGGATTTGGAGTCGAGATCGGAACGCTAGCAGCTGACCTCCCCGAGAACGCATTTGCTCAGGCTTTCGATGATGCTAATATCATCGTCACTAACCGATTCATCGATCCCTTTTGGAGGATCAAAAGGCTTCTTCGCGTGCAAGGAGAGGCGCGCCTGCAGCGGAGCATCAAAGTCCTCGATGAGTTCACCTACGACATTATTCGTCGGAGGAAAGCAAAGATCAAGCTTGCACGAGCCAAGAGAAATGGAGATGAGGTAATATGACCTGATACGCTCCTGCTTTGATCTGGTTGCCATCCTAGAACTCTGTTCTTGCTTCTGCAACAGATGAAGCATGATCTGCTGTCGAGGTTCATCGAGCTCGGCGAGGGCGACGGCAGCATCTTCAGCGACGACAAGAGCCTCAGAGATGTGGTCCTTAACTTTGTGATCGCAGGAAGGGACACGACGGCGGCGACGCTGTCATGGTTCATCTACATGGTGATGACACACCCTGGTGTGGCCGAGAAGCTCCATGACGAGGTCAGGGCATTCGAAGAAGAGCGCGCCAAGGAAGAAGGTGTTGCGCTACTGGTCGAGGCTTTCGATGACAGGATGACGCAGTTTGCTGGCTTCCTCAGCTATGATTCCATGGGAAGATTGGCTTACCTCCATGCATGCATCTCAGAGACTCTCAGACTGTACCCTGCAGTTCCTCAGGTGATCGATCCCATTCCATGGCCTGCAAACCTGCACAGATAACTTGCAATCAATCTTCATCATGTAACCGTGAGTGAGAGAATGCAGGATCCTAAAGGAATTCTGAAGGATGATGTACTACCAGATGGAACAAAGGTGAAAGCAGGTGACATGGTTACCTATGTTCCCTATGTCATGGGGAGAATGGAGTACAACTGGGGACCTGATGCAGCACTGTACAAACCTGAGAGGTGGTTCAAGGATGGGATATTGCAGACCGTCTCCCCATTCAAGTTCACAGCATTCCAGGTACATCCACCATGGAAATCGAAAGCTCACTTCTCTCTCTACTTCACTGCAACAACAGTGAAACTTAGATCAGTGAAGTTTGAGCTTGAGCTTTACCTGATGATAAATGGAGGTTAAATAGGAACATTCTCTTTCTCTACTTCCACTGCAACAACAACAATGAAACTTGAGTTGGTGAAGTTTGAACTATACACTGATGATAATGGACGTTTGGGAGGAAGACTTACCGCTGTAATTTTGTGTTGATGGTTGCAGGCTGGACCGCGAATATGTCTGGGGAAAGACTCTGCTTACCTGCAAATGAAGATGACACTGGCTGTCCTGTGCAGGTTCTTCACATTCACTCTGGTGCCAAATCATACAGTGCAGTATAGGATGATGACAATACTATCAATGGCTCATGGACTAAAAGTTTATATTTCCCGACGATAATAATGTCATGAAAATGTAATAACTGCATTGCCATATGAGTAAGGACTGCAGTACAAGATCATTTCTCAGTCTCATCCTATCTACAACACAACTCTGAATCTTCCTTTGAAGACATGGCTGGTTTGAGAAGACATTCAAAGCAGAACTACAATGAACAAGCAATTAACCATAAGCCAAAACTGCATACTCTACTAGTTAGTACAAAGAGTATGATACATGCCCAATAACAGAACATACCAATTCCAAATAAACAATACTAGATATTGGTGGCAGTCATCTGAACAAGAGGGAACCAAGAAATCATGGCAACCAATCATATATGTTGATACTCGCAGTAGTCGGTCAAGAAACAAAAGATCACACGACTTGATAGTTGATATATTGCTGGCCAACTTAATACATACAATCTGATGATACGATGCACACAACAAAAAAACCCGAATTTATACCGTAACAAAAGGATGCATAAAATACTTGAAGCTCAGACTCTGACCAAGAAAAATGTTTAGGAGTAAACCCTGTTCTTCTGATCAAAATGAAAACAGCAGCCAAATGAAAGATACCCTTCTGAACCTTTGGACAGGCAATCCTCCACAGCACAAAGTGAGGGATGAAGACAATTATGTGAATTGTGTTTATTCATTCCATCTTGGTAGTCCCATGTACCATCAACCATGCTCATAGATATATCGGAATCCATATGTCCACGATTGCCGGGAAAAGAAGTCTGCTTTGATCGCTTGGTTTGTGCTGGAAAGTCTGAACATTTTGATATCTCCATCGATTTTGGAATGTGCTCAATGTGTTTCTCAAAATAAGAAGAATATTTCCGCTTTAACCCAGGATG